TATCAACACCTCTGTTCCTTGGCTTTTCAAAAAAAAAAAAAAAATCCTAAAAATATTTTTAGCTACATTTAGTGTATCTCGCCCTGAGAGTTGCTGCTATCGGGCCACCGATAATTTTTAGAGATCAATAAATAGCTAAAGAAATATCAGCCACCCTTCACAACAATATATTAAGGAATTGGGTACCATTTGATGCCACAGGGAAATCCTGTTGGAACTTGCGGGAAGTAAATCATCGGATACAATTCTTTGGGGGGAGGGCATTGGACTCCATTAGTAAAAGCTACAAAAGAGTCCCCTTTGTTACTGTTTGTATTGTTGAGAACTGCCTCAGAAATGAAGCCAACCCTCGTGGAAGCAGGAATATTTTCTCGACATCATCCCCAGACAGAAGATGAAAAGGACAGCCATGTCACCCAAAGATTTGAAACTGGAAAGAAAGTAACGGGTTTTTCTACTTGAGCATTTGACCATAACTTTCATTTTGTTTCTTAAGGGTTCAAGACAATTTTAGTTACATCAATGATGTTGGCCACAGACTTGCAATATTACAACCTCCTTACGTACTAACTTTGGATTTTTTTGAATCCTTTTGAGTTGTTGGCATCCAAGCTAAACAACATTATTTTGTGCAATTGGAAGCCTAGAAGATTTATGGATGCCAGGAATCTGTCTATGGCTTGGAAAATATGGGTTTCTCCTCTTGCCTTTTCCCTGGAAAAACTGCGAAAGAATACAGGAAGATGCCTCACTGCAATTCAGCCCCGATTCATCTACCTGGCTGGCTGAGGAATTCTGGGAGTTAAAGTCCACAAATCTTAAAAGTTGCCACGTTTGGAGACCTCCGTCTACCTTAGTATTTCTAACAGTGGTAGGCAAAAGAGTTGTAGCTGGAACAGTTTGAACCCTACCACAAAAGTCCTCCAAAGCTGGGGTTTGGATGCTGCGTTGATACTATTTGCGTTATACAGGCTCTCAAGACCAAAAACACTAATGTTGGATTTGCATTGGTTATTTACAAGGAAGAAAAGCATAAATCACAGAAATTTGGAGTGGTGGTACAAAATGTCACCAGCATAAGTCTAACCAGTAATTGAGTTTAGCACAGCAATATCAAAATCTATCTTGGCCTTTTTTCTTCTCTTCAGGAAGCTGGTACCATAAATTCTTTCTTTCCTCTCTCCTTCCTTCCTTCCTTCCTTCCTTCCTTCCTTCCTTCCTTCCTTCCTTCTGGCTAATGCTAAGAAAATACGTATGGGAATAACATGGAAAAGGTGTAAGATTTATAGTTTTTGTTTAGAAGTCCCTTCCTTCCTTCCTTCCTTCCTTCCTTCCTTCCTTCCTTCCTTCCTTC